TACATTACAATACTATAGATCAGGGGTGGGCAAAGGGATTGGCCCCACAACATCCTCCATTTCCCAGCCGCTTCTGCCTGCATCGCAGCAGCTGATTTCCATGAAAATACCAGGAGCAGCAGGGCTGTGATAGCATAGGGCCAGGGAAACCAGCCCAACCAATACTGGTGAGGCACACAGCTCGGCAGGGAGCTGCTCCAGAGCCAGGGCTGAGACAAGGGCTGGGATCTTGTGGCAGACCTGTGATCTGCTCCTCTCACACACCAGGCAGGGGCACATAGGCAGCAGATCACAGATCTGCCCTGGCTCTGCACCATGCTGTCACTGTTGCAGAATCCTAGCCCTGGCCCTGGAGCAGCTCCTCACCCAGCCACATACCCTGCCAGCACTGCATGGGCCAGTCTCCATGGAAACCCTGGCCTCCCACCCTCATGGCCCAGCTGCTCCTGTCATTTCCATGGAAACTGGCCTAACCACATATGCAGGGGCTGCTGGGAAATGGAGTCCAGCTGCCAGCCAAGTCTGCCATTTTGCCCACCCCTGCTATAGATGTTCTATTAAATTCTATAGACTGAATTCCAACCCTCTATATCATTTTTTATTGAACTGTATAAGACTTCTGTATAAAGAACTATTCCACAGTTTCACTGTTAAATGATTTATTTATAAGTGTAGCACTGACCACCCTGAGTGCATATTTGGTTGATAATAGATGAAAGATAGTATGAGACTCATAGAAATGGTCTTTTCACTCAACAGGTACAAGCTCTGGGTTGACACCTGCTCTGAACTGTTTGGTGGTTTGGATATCTGTGCTGTCAAAGCTGTACATGGCAAGGATGGAAAGGATTATATTTTTGAGGTAAGAGTTGTCTCATCATATGCTTTTACTTATTAAAAGACCTCAGTAAAACCACTTCCTGTAAGATTAGGCTGTCATTCTGGGTTGGTTGTGTCTCAAGGTATTTTTGAACAACGTTTAAGTCATAATGCAAGGCCACATGTCCAAGTTAGTGGTGTTGCTTACTGGAAAATATAACCATATCATATGGTAATGTTTTCTAGTCTTTGAGGAAATGTACACAAACTACAAAACACAGCCAAAATATCATATTTTCCCAACCCTTATGCTTCTCTTCCTGAATGGGCTCACCAATATTACTTTGGTGGAAGATTTATAGACAGAAATGTCCTGAAGGAACCCCAACAAAATTACATCTTTACATGGAAAAAGAAATTAAGAACATAGTAGAAACCATGTGCCTTTTTCAGCCTGAAATATGATTTTCGAGATCTGATACCTCATGAACCACCAATGCAAGAAGAGATATTGTTATGTATTGTTTTGAAAAGTATGAGTTTTTAACCCTTGCCATTTTGGGGATATTTTACCTCAAATTTGTCATTGATCACAGCCAAAAAATGAGTGATCCCAAGGTATTTATCAAACCACCCAAGATCTTTGCAGTATCCCAGTGCCCTTGGCTGCTGCTTTCCATTTTACTCAAGCCATCAAAATTGATGAAGATTGCATAATTTCACAGCCCTGCAGGCAATGCTGATTTGCAGAAACAAAAAAGCAATGGTGATTTTATGCAAGCCACCAAGTACATTGAGATCTTCAAGTTTTGCCCTCTTTCTAGTTAGTCATATCTGCCACTAAAATAACAGCACAAGGTAAAGTTAAACCACAAGGTTCTGGAGTGTATGCTGATTTTTTGTGAGAATCAGAAAAAATAAAGACACAAAACTTTAAAAAATGCCACTGGGACTCATCTGTCATCAGTATTGATTACTAAGTGCTGTCTTGGTAGAGTGTAGCTGAGGAAATATGGCAGCTTGCCACAAATCTTTAGTGCCATCATTTTCAAAACTTAATCACTATGTCCCTTTGATCTGGAAGAATGGAAACCACAGTAGTCACATTTCTTCCATCTGTCCATATCAAAACTATGATATACAAATCCTGCAGATCGAAGAAAATAATTCCATTCCAAGCTCCCCTAGTTTAACTCCTTCTCATATGCTGCAGATATCTAAATCTGCTGTGCTTCTTCTGAGTGGTTATTTTAATTTTTTTATTAATTTGTAGAACTTAGAGAGTAAGAAGAAGTATTCTAAAGATAACCCCCTCTTTTAGCTTGCTTCTAACCTAGGCCCACAGAGCAGAGCACTTACAGGGTTCTACTATGACTTGGAGGTGTGAGTTCAAGCCCTTCTTGGAAAGCTGCCTCCAGCTTTTGCAGCTGTAAATGGGTGACCAGATATGATGCTAGATCAGTTGTTCCCTTGCATGCTGTTGCTATAATAACTGGTGTCCCTTAACCCAGTGGGCTGCCAGACCTTGACTTGAAATATAAAGGATTGTTCTTGGACTCAAAGTTTACCATGGACATAGAGCAAAATTCTACAAGTTGCTGAGCCAATCTAGGAAAATTCACCACTCCCCTTAAGGCCAAAAGGCAGTTCATACCTTTCTGGATCAGGCCTACAGCATTCAGTCAGCATGAGTACCTGTGAGAATTCATGGGAGGAAAGGTAAGCTGCAGATGCAAGTGCAAACATGATACCTCTCCTGTCCTATCCTTCTATACCAGACAAGCTCCTGCATTTTAGATGATTACAATTCTAAACAGCAGAACAGTTTCAGAAATTGATCTCTATCTTTCCAGGAGCAGTAAATATATAAAAACTAGCTATTGCCCATCAAGAATGATGAATTTCAGGGAGTGTTTACATGGCCTCCCCTTCCCCCGCACCCCCTGCTTACCCTTCAGAGCCAGCCATGTAAAGACTCCCTCTGCCACCACCGCCTCTTCCTGCAGCCTCTGGTGCAGGGGCTCCCTTCCCCCTCCTGCCTCCACCTCACAGCGGGGCTTCCCCCGACTTCCCCTCCCCTCCCCTGCCCGCTCCCTTTCCTCCCTCCCCACTGATCTTTGAGAAGATCATCATGGAGCACATCTGTGATGGGCTGGCCTCAGAGATGATGCTCAAGGGCAATCAGCACGGTTTCATTAGGGGTAGGTCATGTCAGACCAACCTGATTGCCTTTTATGATCAGGTCACAAAAGC